TCGGGACACGAGGGCTACTTTCTTCGAGGCCAGTCCATTTTAACGCACGATCCTGCGATAAGTTTTTCTTATCTTTTCTCTTTGTTCATTTTTTTGTTATTCTAATTATTATTATTATTATTATTATTATTATTATTATTTGTTCTTGCATTTGGTGGTTTGTCTGGTGATTCGTTTAAACTCAGGATTTTTATTTTGTTAAACTCGCATTTTAATATCAATTTTCTAACAATCTTGAAAAAAGATATTTTTTCTCGAGTTTTGGAAAATCCAAAAATGGCTAACTTGGAAAATGTTGTCATTTTCCAAAATGTTGTTGTTGAGAATGATGTGAATGATATCCTTCAAAGTAATGTTAATTTCGTGTCTGTGACTAATTGTGGAGACACATCTGTTGCTACGGGCTCGCACAGGGTTGATCTAACCGGGATGTCGGAAAAATTTTCTGGGCAATTTTTCAAGCGTTGGCAACAACGCATGAAAATTTGGTTAATCACCAAGGGCTTGCTTTCGGTAATTATGACGGTGTGTCCCCCCGTTGTTGAACCGGATCCTAAAAGTCTTGAACGCCAGGCTTCATGGCGTGAGAGGGATGAAATTGCAAAATGCATGATTTTGTTGGGTTTCTCCAACATGTTATTTGATGTCTATTGCACCCTCCACGGCACGGCTAAGGACCTTTGGGATGAGTTGGATAGGAAATATAATACCGAGGACCATGGTCTTGAAAAGTACTCCCTCCGTCCCCTTTTAAATGTCCCACAAGAGGGTGGCACGAGTTTTAAGAAAAGTGAGTTTGTGTGGTTGATAGTAATTGATAAAGTAAGAATAAAGTAAGAATGATTTTGAGACACACAAACTTTACCAAATAAGGTATGAGACAATTAAATAGGGACATCCCAATATGGTAAAATGGGACATTTAAAAGGGGACGGAGGGAGTATATAGTTTCTAAATTCCTACGATTTGACATGAAAGAAGGAAAATCGGTGTTAGAACAGACACAAGAATTTGAGTTTATCTTACATTCTCTTCGTGAAGCAGATATGGAATTACCTGAAAATTTTAAAGTGATGTCGGTCATAGAAAAATTTCCCAAATCATTGGAAGATTTTGTATGACTTTAAAACATAAAATGAAAAAGGTCACTTGAAAATCTTTAATGCATTCAATAACTATTGAGGATGAGCATAAGAAAGCGGGGTACATTGTGCGTGTTGATTTTCAACCAAAGACACACGTAATCTAAGTATAGCAGCGGTATTATTACTAGCATTATCAAACCTACAGCAAACACCTTATCAATCAAATTATACTCAATTAAAATACGTTCAATGAGAATATAAATATTATCAGCAGTGTGACGATCATTGAATTCACGAAAAGTAAGAACACGTTTATGCATATTCCAATCATCATCAATATAAAGTACAGTAAGACCCAAATAATATAAATGATGATAAGTATCCTCCCATATATCGCTACAAATACTAACACGTCCATCAAAGTTTGCGAAAAATGTTTGTAATTTTTCTTTTTCCAAGTTATATTGCCTTATAACTTCTTTTTTAATCGTTTTGCGACTATAATTTCTAAATTGAGGATTTAAAGTACCTTGAGCATAATCTCTTAAAGCAAGACTTTCAGAAAAAATATAGGGTAAATTTTCTTCAACAATTAAATGAGACATACCAGTCAAATGTTTTTTATCATCATAGGAAAAATTACCAAAGGGTTGAGAATTTGCAATTAAATGTAAAAATACCAGTCAACTAATATGAGAAATGTAAAAATTAACTACTTTTTTTACTTTAATGAGAAATGTAGCAATTAACTAATATGAGAAATGTAAAAATTAGCTACTTTTTTTAGTTTAATGAGAAATGTAGCAATTAACTAATATGAGAAATGTAAAAATTAACTACTTTTTTTTACTTTAATGAGCAATGTAGCAATTAACTAATATGATAAATGTAAAAATTAACTACTTTTTTTTTACTTTAATGAGAAATGTAGCAATTAACTAATATGAGAAATGTAAAAATTAACTACTTTTTTTTACTTTAATGAGCAATGTAGCAATTAACTAATATGAGAAATGTAAAAATTAACTACTTTTTTTTACTTTAATGAGAAATGTAGCAATTAACTAATATGAGAAATGTAAAAATTAACTACTTTTTTTTACTTTAATGAGAAATGTAGCAATTAACTAATATGAGAAATGTAAAAATTAACTACTTTTTTTTACTTTAATGAGCAATGTAGCAATTAACTAATATGAGAAATGTAAAAATTAACTATTTTTTTTTTTACTTTTATGAGAAATGTAGCAATTAACTAATATGAGAAATGTAAAAATTAACTACTTTTTTTACTTTAATGAGCAATGTAGCAATTAACTAATATGAGAAATGTAAAAATTAACTACTTTTTTTTACTTTAATGAGAAATGTAGCAATTAACTAATATGAGAAATGTAAAAATTAACTACTTTTTTTTACTTTAATGAGCAATGTAGCAATTAACTAATATGAGAAATGTAAAAATTAACTATTTTTTTTTTTACTTTAATGAGAAATGTAGCAATTAACTAATATGAGAAATGTAAAAATTAACTACTTTTTTTTACTTTAATGAGCAATGTAGCAATTAACTAATATGAGAAATGTAAAAATTAACTACTTTTTTTACTTTAATGAGAAATGTAGCAATTAACTAATATGAGAAATGTAAAAATTAACTACTTTTTTTAACTTTAATGAGCAATGTAGCAATTAACTAATATTAATATGAGAAATGTAACAATTAAGTAGTTTAACTAATATTAATATGACAAATGAAACAATTAACTTTAACAACTTTAACTAATATTAATATGACAAATGAAACAATTAACTACTTTAACTAATATTAATATGACAAATGAAACAATTAACTACTTTAACTAATATTAATATGACAAATGAAACAATTAACTTTAACTACTTTAACTAATATTAATATGACAAATGAAACAATTAACTACTTTAACTAATATTAATATGACAAATGAAACAATTAACTACTTTAACTAATATTAATATGACAAATGAAACAATTAAGTAATTTAATAGATAAACAAAAAGTCTAACAAATAACTACTTTTATAAAATGTATGAATGTGTATAAGTCTATATCAATGAGTATAAGTATATATAGTATATATAAATAATATAATGTGTAAATATATTATAAGTAATATATAATATAATGTATAACTATATATAGTATATATAATATAATGTGTAAAGAATTATAATATGAATGTGTATAAGTATATATTTATAAGTAGATAATTAATATATAAGTAGATATAATAATTATATAAATTATATATATGTAGAAATAATTTGGAGAAGATGAAGAATGAAGATGATTGAATATGAGCGATTGAGAGAATAGAGAATTTAGAGAGTAGGAAGAGTTGTAGAAGAAGAGGTAAAAAATGTATAGAAAATAGGAGTATAAATAGATTTTTTTTTTGTATACCCCACCGCCACCCCACCCCACCCCCCTAACCCCCCAGACCCCCCCTCCTATGCTCCCAATGGTTACAGAGCCGTTTGGGAGCTCTCCCAACGGCTATGAAGCCTTTAAGTATTTAAAAAAAAATTAAAATATGACCGTTGCGGCCCGGCCGGGCTGGTTCACTAAAATGCAGGCTCGGGATCGAACCGCTAGAAGACCAGGCCGGGTGGCCCGAACTGGGCACCAACCGGTTCACCGGACCGGGCCGGGCCCGCACAGTAGCGGGCCGGGCCGGTTCCAGGCCAGTTAGCCCGGCTCGAGTCCATCCCTAGCCGGGCCGGTCCACGGGCCGGGTGGCCTGACCCGAGTCCAACCCTAGTTGATCCCAAACGTTTACTTTGATCTAGCAACGACAATTTCAAATTCAATTTCAACCCGCCTTTACACTCTCAAAGTAACGGATCAAGTTTTTTATTATTAAAAAAAACTGTTCAGGTTTATTTAACCACAAAATTTATGTTCTGTAAAATAAATAAATGTCTCTCCATTTAATATATTTGTCCAAATCTGAGTAGATTTAAACATGTGAAGTAATATATATTTCAATTCTTACATGATACTTGAACAATAATGCTCCTTATCACATACTACCTCCGTTCTTAAATAAATGCAACACTTTGACTTTTACACTATTCACATGTTCTACTTTGACTACATTTTATTTATTAATGTAATAATATTATTTTATGAAAAAAATATTGTTAAACTTGTCTCATTGTAAATTTTCATAATCTAATTTTTTTAATTTTTTTACTAATACAAAATCATTTATATTAATGGTCAAAGTTGTGTCTCGGCAAGTGTGAAATGTTGACCGTTGCATTTATTTAAGAACGGAGGAAATATTATATTAACAAGAGGAAGGGACAATTTATTTATAGTATTGAAAATAAAATTCACTTCGACAATACACCACTTCACAACATTTACAACTATGGATTCCAATCATTAAATGAAATAAATCCAATTATGTAAGTTGTTCTTTGATGTATTAAAAAAAACATCTCCATTTCTAATGTTAAACAATTACTATGTATATCTTGGTACTCAAAGTTGAGACCCATCATAATAATATTTGTTTTATCATATTTCCAACAGGTAGAAGAATACTTACTTAGAGCTGCACATCAAAGTGACGTGTTTGCTCATATTCTGATATGGCATTTTCAGGTGCATGAATTACCCTTTTCAGTTAATCTATACATGCTTTGGTTTTAGGGTGAGAAATGCACACCAAAATGTGTGAAAGATGCTTCTGCAAAGGTATGCCGTTGCAAATAAATCATTTATGTCACAGAGCACTAGATTTTTTTCTTAATACCAGATATGCTTTGTTCAAACCTATTTTTTTAACTACTATTGTTTAACTAGAGATTTTTCTTATTTAACTAGTACTCTAGTACAGGAGACATGTTACATGCATCCCCAATGAAATAAGGATAATTTTAAGGTGTATTATAAAACATAACGTGATTTATAAGCTTCTTACAATGTGCACCAACAGAGGGAAGCAACATAAGCAACAGACAACCCCTTTCTACACATAATTATTGTAGCAAAAGACGTGGTGATCACTTGACAAACATTGGCAGCTCTCATCAAGCCATCTTCATCTTTGATGGTGAAGGGAGCAACTGCAAATTGATAAAGATTACTACAACTGTTCTTTATGCAAATTATTCATAAAGAATAAATATGAACATTCCAGCAACTGTACCAACTACTTCACTCTTACATGTATGTCGGGCTGAATTCGGTTCGGGTCCCAAACCAATCCCATGAATCAACAAAGCGAACCAAATTATTGGTTTTCTAATTTACCATAACCCAAACTAAACCAATATTAAAACGGGTCCCAAGTTTTGGTACCCGAGTTTTCGATTCGGTTTTTCATAAACCAAAAAACCAACTCAAGAAGTATAAATATTTTTGAACTATTACACATTTGACTGTGCCCAGTGGAACTTGCCCATATTTGAGCCGATATACCAAATGTAGCCTTGTAGGCATATGAGCCCATTTACCCGAGGCTGCTTCAACATATGATAGGAGATCTAGCTTCAAAATCAGAAAAACAAAACATATTCCCCTGCAAACCATCTCAACAACACGCCTTGTGTGTTCATTGTATGCTCAACGTTTGATTATACCTTATTAAATGTCTTTTGTTATTGTTTATTATTAATAATAACAATTGTTATTATTAATATAAAATTGTCGGTTCGGTTCGGTCCAAACCAATATTTTTGAGTGCAAAAACCGAATCCTAACCGATTTTTTTTTTCGGGTCCCAATTTCGTTTGGTTCGTTTTTTTCAAAACGGTTCAGTTATTTTCGGTTCGGTTTTCGGTTTAAAATGCCAACCCTACATGTATGCATGTTTTACACCTTAGCCTCAGATTTGCCTTGTTTGGTTTTACTTGCAAGCATACACAATTCAGATGAATAATAGAAGTGTTCAAATATGATCCTTACAGCCCATACTAAGTAGAGTGATTAAAGTGGGACACTATTGGTTATAAAATTACAAATTTGTGAAGGGTACAGGGGCCTATTTGACCCTTTAGCCTAAGAAATATATAAATGGTTTGGTTTAAAGAGTGCCAACAGAAGAGACACACACAGAGAGAGAGAGAGAATACGTTAAAGAGTGCCAACTCTCCAAGTCCCAAACCCAAAAGATAATTCCAGCCTCCCTCTTATTTCCTCCCTTACCTTCTATTTATGCTACTCTTATTATTATTATTATAATTATAATTATAATTATTCTCAGCATATTCTGCCTGGATCCTATCATCATGGTTGGTCAATGATGCACGACATTTTGAGGTTTCTGTATTACTCATGTGATATCGATGTTTAAATTCAGAAACATCAGGAATCAACAAACACTAGAGTTTGGAGAAAGCTTGAATTGGAGTGGAATATACTCCCTTAGACTCACCACTTAATGAATATTCTTGTTATTCTGGCAAAGCATAGTAAGAAGACTTCTGATACCAAACAGAGCCTTAGTCCTAGCATCTTAATCTGAAAAAAATGAATTCAATTCTGACCAACCCAAACAAGGCATTTATGTAATAAACTCCTAGAGGTTACCTGATAACAGAATATGAGAGAGCTGACAAATCCAAAGGCTCCTGTCACACGTGGAGTTGCTTTTTTGGGTGCCAATTGAAGTAACCCAACCGCAACAACAATGTCTAACCCTGCTTTGACCAGTGCGACAGATCTATCGTTTGACTTTTTAAGTTTACTGTGATATTGCTCGTTCCGCATTTATGCCAAACACACGAAATGTTACATGCTAACCAAACAATCATAAAATATAGATAAATATTAGTAGAAATGCATTTTTAGGTTAAATATTATAAGAGGCACAAAAACTGGACCTCAACCAAAGTGGTGCAGACTGATGAACCCATCCAACAAGACAGAGAGATCCTACCTAGCAACTCAGCACGTTCTTTATTCTATATGCAAAACAAAACAAAAAAACACCCAAATCAGTTCACATTACATTTTTTACAAAAGAAGATATTCCAACAAATATTCAAAGGCCTGGGAATTAAGCTTATAACCTTGTATATGCCTGTCCTGCCAAGCCATACAATTTGATCCAAGAACAAGAAAATTCCATGGTGATTTAAAAAAGAAAAAAATCTATTAATCTATTACGTAGTAATATATAAAAGAAAAGAAAACTCCTGCAGTGTTCCCACCTCAAGAGCTCCAGAGGTACCTCTTGAGTCATGTGCTAAGCTATGATATCACACCACCATAAATGCAAAGGCAAAAACACCATAAATGCAAAGCCAAAAAACACCATAAAATTACATATAAATAGTACGGAGTAGCAAGTTTTGCCAAATGAACACAGCTGATGCCTGATGATTATGTGTAATTATGCATGTATTACATCTTATTGTACGCGAGTTACATGTAATTATGTGTGATTGGTGGTTTGTCTGGTGATTCGTTTAAACTCAGGATTTTTATTTGGTTAAACTCACATTTTAATATCAATTTTCTAACAATCTTGAAAAAAAGATATTTTTTCTCGAGTTTTGGAAAATCCAAAAATGGCTAACTTGGAAAATGTTGTCATTTTCGAAAATGTTGTTGTTGAGAATGATTTCATTCAAAGTAATGTTAATTTCGTGTCTGTGACTAATTGTGGAGACACATCTGTTGCTACGGGCTCGCACAGGGTTGATCTAACTGGGATGTCAGAAAAATTTTCTGGGCAATTTTTCAACCGTTGGCAACAACGCATGAAAATTTGGTTAATCACCAAGGGCTTGCTTTCGGTAATTATGACGGTGTGTCCCCCCGTTGTTGAACCGGATCCTAAAAGTCTTAAACGCCAGGCTTCATGGCGTGAGAGGGATGAAATTGCAAAAGGCATGATTTTGTTGGGTTTCTCCAACATGTTATTTGATGTCTATTGCACCCTCCACGGCACGGCTAAGGACTTTTGGGATGAGTTGGATAGGAAATATAATACCGAGGACCACGGTCTTGAAAAGTATATAGTTTCTAAATTCCTACGATTTGACATGAAAGAAGGAAAATCGGTGTTAGAACAGACACAAGAATTTGAGCTTATCTTACATTCTCTTCGTGAAGCAGATATGGAATTACCTGAAAATTTTAAAGTGATGCCGGTCATAGAAAAATTTCCCAAATCATTGGAAGATTTTGTATGACTTTAAAACATAAAATGAAAAAGGTCACTTGAAAATCTTTAATGCATTCAATAACTGTTGAGGATGAGCATAAGAAAGCGGGATACATTGTGCGTGTTGATTTTCAACCAAAGGCTCACGTAATCTAAGTATAGCAGCAGTATTATTACTAGCATTATCAAAACCTACAACAAACACCTTATCAATCAAATTATATTCAATTAAAATACGTTCATTGAGAATATAAATATTATCAGCAGTGTGACGATCATTGAATTCACGAAAAGCAAGAACACGTTTATGCATATTCCAATCATCATCAATATAATGTGCAGTAAGACCCAAATAATATAAATGATGATAAGTATCCTCCCATATATCGCTACAAATACTAACACGTCCATCAAAGTTTGCGAAAAATGTTTGTAATTTTTCTTTTTCCAAGTTATATTGCCTTATAACTTCTTTTTTAATCGTTTTGCGACTATAATTTCTAAATTGAGGATTTAAAGTACCTTGAGCATAATCTCTTAAAGCAAGACTTTCGGAAAAAATATAGGGTGAGTTTTCTTCAACAATTAAATGAGACATACCAGTCAAATGTTTTTTATCATCATAGGAAAAATTACCAAAGGGTTGAGAATTTGCAATTAAATGTAAAAGTACCAGTCAACTAATATGAGAAATGTAAAAATTAACTACTTTTTTTTACTTTAATGAGAAATGTAGCAATTAACTAATATGAGAAATGTAAAAATTAACTACTTTTTTTTACTTTAATGAGAAATGTAGCAATTAACTAATATGAGAAATGTAAAAATTAACTACTTTTTTTTACTTTAATGAGCAATGTAGCAATTAACTAATATGAGAAATGTAAAAATTAACTACTTTTTTTTACTTTAATGAGAAATGTAGCAATTAACTAATATGAGAAATGTAAAAATTAACTACTTTTTTTTACTTTAATGAGCAATGTAGCAATTAACTAATATGAGAAATATAAAAATTAACTATTTTTTTTTACTTTAATGAGAAATGTAGCAATTAACTAATATGAGAAATGTAAAAATTAACTACTTTTTTTTTTACTTTAATGAGAAATGTAGCAATTAACTAATATGAGAAATGTAAAAATTAACTACTTTTTTTTACTTTAATGAGCAATGTAGCATAACTAATATGAGAAATATAAAAATTAACTAATTTTTTTTTACTTTAATGAGAAATGTAGCAATTAACTAATATGAGAAATGTAAAAATTAACTACTTTTTTTACTTTAATGAGCAATGTAGCAATTAACTAATATGAGAAATGTAAAAATTAACTACTTTTTTTTACTTTAATGAGAAATGTAGCAATTAACTAATATGAGAAATGTAAAAATTAACTATTTTTTTTACATTAATGAGCAATGTAGCAATTAACTAATATGAGAAATGTAAAAATTAACTTTTTTTTTACTTTAATGAGAAATGTAGTTATTAACTAATATGAGAAATGTAAATATTAACTACTTTTTTTTTTACTTTAATGAGCAATGTAGCAATTAACTAATATGAGAAATGTAAAAATTAACTACTTTTTTTTACTTTAATGAGAAATGTAGCAATTAACTCATATGAGAAATGTAAAAATTAACTACTTTTTTTTAACTTTAATGAGCAATGTAGCAATTAACTAATATTAATATGAGAAATGTAACAATTAAGTAGTTTAACTAATATTAATATGACAAATGAAACAATTAACTTTAACTACTTTAACTAATATTAATATGACAAATGAAACTATTAACTACTTTAACTAATATTAATATGACAAATGAAACAATTAACTACTTTAACTAATATTAATATGACAAATGAAACAATTAACTTTAACTACTTTAACTAATATTAATATGACAAATGAAACAATTAACTACTTTAACTAATATTAATAT